AAACCCTGCTCCTCTACCAAGCAGGCCACCTCCACACACAGAACAAGGCACGGTAAATCAGTTATGGTGGAAAAAATCAGCTCCAGGGAGCCTGTAGGTAATACTGTTGAAAAGCTGGTTGCCCTCCACTTGCCTTTCCAGGACACAAATTCCATAGTACACGCCATCTTTGAACAGTGTGGCCATACTACTGTGCACGTGGTGAGATTAGAAGTCAGAAACAGCAGTGCCTTAGATCAGCGTTTTTCAACCACTGTGCCGCGGCACACTAGTGTGCCGTGAGATATTTTCTGGTGTGCCGTCAATAAATCGTTAATTTCTTTGATCGATCAAAATTATTTTGATCGATCAAAGTTACTCACCTCTCCGCAGGCTTCCGGGTCTTCCGTCGGAGATCCGGTGACGTCACGGACATCGACGTCACCGGACTCCTCCCCCCTTCCCCGAGTGGCTCTGTCGGCTAACGAAGGGAAGGGGGGAGGAGTCGGGTGATGTAGTTGTCCGTGATGGGTAACGAAGGGAAGGAGGGAGGAGTCCGGTGACGTCACGGACATAGACTCCTCCCCCTTCCCTTCGTTACCTGACGGAATCACTTGGGCTGAGTCTCCTCCTCACTCTTGGGCCGGTGAGTCATCGCATGTAACGCTGGGTGTGGCATGAAGGAGTTATTAAAGTGATCATTAAAGTGTGACTCATTCTAACTGCAGAGGGCAGAACCAAATGTAAACCCCCTAACCCCCCGGAGTGTGGTGAGACCCCCTATGAGCCCTGGTGAGACCCCACAAAGCCATGGTGAGACCCCATGGAGCCCTGGTGAGACCAGGGCTCTGTGGGATCTTGCCAGGGCTCTGTGGGGTCTTGCCAGGGCCCTGAGGGGTCTCACCAGGCTGGTGAAATCGCACATAGCCATGGTGGGACCCCATAGAGCCCCGTGTGAGACCCTACGGAGCCCTGGTGCTGGTGAGACCCTACAAAGCCCGGGTTTAACCAGGGCAGTGTGGGATCTCACCAGGGCTCTGAGGGGTCTAACCAGGCTGGTGAGACCCCCACATAGCTCTGGTGAGACCCTACAGAGCCCTGGTTAAAGCAGGGCTTGGTAGGGTCTCACCAGGGCTCTGTGGGGTTTAAGCAGGCTGGTGAGACCCCACAGTGCCCAAGTGAGACCCCCAAAGAGCCCTGGTGAGACCCCACTGAACCCTACTTTAACCAGGGCTCTGTGGGGTCTCACCAGAGCTCTGAGGGGTCTCACCAGGCTGGTGAAATTGCACATAGCCATGGTGGGACCCCATAGAGCCCTGGTGAGACCCTACGGAGCCCTGGTGCTGGTGAGACCCTACAGAGTCCGGGTTTAACCAGGGCAGTGTGGGATCTCACCAGGGCTCTGAGGGGTCTAACCAGGCTGGTGAGACCCCCACATAGCTCTGGTGAGACCCTACAGAGCCCTGGTTAAAGCAGGGCTTGGTAGGGTCTCACCAGGGCTCTGTGGGGTTTAAGCAGGCTGGTGAGACCCCACAGTGCCCAAGTGAGACCCCCAAAGAGCCCTGGTGAGACCCCACTGAACCCTACTTTAACCAGGGCTCTGTGGGGTCTCACCAGAGCTCTGAGGGGTCTCACCAGGCTGGTGAAATTGCACATAGCCATGGTGGGACCCCATAGAGCCCTGGTGAGACCCTACGGAGCCCTGGTGCTGGTGAGACCCTACAGAGTCCGGGTTTAACCAGGGCAGTGTGGGATCTCACCAGGGCTCTGAGGGGTCTAACCAGGCTGGTGAGACCCCCACATAGCTCTGGTGAGACCCTACAGAGCCCTGGTTAAAGCAGGGCTTGGTAGGGTCTCACCAGGGCTCTGTGGGGTTTAAGCAGGCTGGTGAGACCCCACAGTGCCCAAGTGAGACCCCCAAAGAGCCCTGGTGAGACCCCACTGAACCCTACTTTAACCAGGGCTCTGTGGGGTCTCACCAGAGCTCTGAGGGGTCTCACCAGGCTGGTGAAATTGCACATAGCCATGGTGGGACCCCATAGAGCCCTGGTGAGACCCTACGGAGCCCTGGTGCTGGTGAGACCCTACAGAGTCCGGGTTTAACCAGGGCAGTGTGGGATCTCACCAGGGCTCTGAGGGGTCTAACCAGGCTGGTGAGACCCCCACATAGCTCTGGTGAGACCCTACAGAGCCCTGGTTAAAGCAGGGCTTGGTAGGGTCTCACCAGGGCTCTGTGGGGTTTAACCAAGACTAGTGAGACCCCACTGAACCCTACTTTAACCAGGGCTACGTCAGTGCTACAGTTTGAATTTAAAACGTATTTGTGTGAAGTGTGAAGTTAAGTCATGGATTGAACAGAAATATGAACAATTATAAAATACTTTATTATTTCATAATAAAGTAATTATAAAATAATTTCTTTGTGTTTATTTGATTCCTATTCAAGATAATTACTTTATATATAGTCAATATAGGCACAGAGGTAAAAAATTTTAACATTTTCTAATGGTGGTGTGCCTCGTGATTGTTTTCATGAAAAAAGTGTGCCTTTGCACAAAAAAGGTTGAAAAACACTGCCTTAGATAATCTCACACTGCAGATATACAGCTATGAGGCTACAGAAGAGGAGTGTTGAAGGCACAAGATAAATCTGTCAGGATCATTATTAGGCACAAACAACGTTTCCAAATGTTCCCTAAAAGATTACAAATCTTCACTTTTTAAATTCCAGTGCACATTATGTGGCCATGGCATGCACAATGTATAAAAAGAAGCAACTGAAACAAATAAACAGAAAGATAAAACATAAGAGAACGATTGGCAGAAGGAACTCATACCAATTTCTTCATATTTTGGGCTTATTTTACTATTTTCTTTGCTGATTGAAAAGCCAAAAACAAATAACAACGAACGCTTTACCGGGGATTCGATGTTCCTCCTTTCTCCGGATTGTTCCCGATTCTGATCTCCGCCCCAAAAATCCGTTCTCTGCAACATTCCAGGACGCGGTTGGTGATGGCCACGGACATAATTTTGTGAGGCTTGTTAAGGTCCACCATCCACCAGGGTCCATCCTCCTTATTTGTGTAAGAGCACTGAGACCTCAGGTAATTGTTGGCCAAAGAGCCGTCTTTGGCGTTCTGCGCGCTCCCATAATAGGATTGAGTGCTGGATTGGGTAGGAATGCTGCGAAGAGCCACATTTGGAGCTATGATATAGTAACAATGGGTGAGGGTTTTATCTGCATGAACGTTTAGCATTATATGACATAAGCATTCTGTAATCACATCATCACATCGGTAATATCAGTAAAGGCCAACTATCAACAAAATACGAGTTTGTAGCCATTTCTCGGTTCATTATTCCTGATGGTGTTCATTGGATTCAATTTAAACCCTTGCCTCTCAACTGGTGGGTCGTGACCCAAAAGTGGGTCGCGACCCTGTGTTCAGTGGGTCGCCGTGTGCCTTCCACTGTGCTAGGTGAGAGGCTCCTCAGGTCCTCCTGTCCTGCCAAGCAGCCATTGAAAATATGATGCCCGGTGCCGAGTGTCAGCTTGAGGTGGGATGGGCTGGGGCTATGGACGCGAGGGAGCTCCAGTCATATATACAACTCCCTCAGGAGTCCTGTAGTGGCGTCTGGACCGGAGTGATGTCACATTCTGGTTCCCGACACCTCTACAGGGCACGCAAGGCGTGCTGTACAAGCATTGCACTTAGGAATGGAGCTCAATTATAGCACAGCAGCCCACACTGGACCCCAGGCTGAGGATGGCTGACCCCTGGCGCAACGTATGGAAACTGGGGGATCTTTTGAATGGCATCCCAAACGCACCTCCCACCCGCAGTTCGATCGCCTGCATCGGCACGCGCGGTACCGAAATGCTGTGCGTTCCATTGCGGTGCGACTTGGCTGGCGACTTAATGACCGAGGACAAATGTGGGTTCTGAGGTTATACAGGTTGAGAACCACTGGTCTAAACCATTGGACCATGTAACTGAAGATCAGCAGAAAGGAGGTGAGGCAGCACAGATGACCGATCTCTCTAAATGTGACTATATATCTATATGATTTCAGGAGCAGTGAGCACACCAATGTAATAATATTAATAATAATAATAATAAGAGTTTTATAATAAGAAAAAAATGACCATGTAACTGAAGATCAGCAGAAAGGAGGTGAGGCAGCACAGATGACCGATCTCTCTAAATGTGACTATATATCTATATGATTTCAGGAGCAGTGAGATCACCAATGTAATAATATTAATAATAATAATAATAAGAGTTTTATAATAAGAAAAAAATACAATTCTCTTACCTGGCTCCACAAGCCTCTCACCAGTAGGGCTCAATGCATCTGGAAATAAATAACATGATATATTATATTGGTATCTATCTATCTATCTATCTATCTATCTATCTATCTATCTATCTATCTATCTATCTATCTATCTATCTATCTATCTATCTGTCTATCTATTGACTGACCTATATGAATATTTGCCCCATATATAGCAGTCAGAAGAAGGAGTTTGCAGATGGTGGAGGAGGCCATGGCACGGAACTCCCCCTGCAGCTTGTATTGTATGAATTGTATGTTTTGCGCTCTCCGGTTTTATGCGTTTCACAACGCAAACAATCCGCCCAAAAAAGAGGGCAAAGTAGCATTCAGCCTGTTGAAATTCAGTTTGCACTCGTTGTGTCATAGACCTTTTTTTAGGCTATTCCTGCCAATATACACTGAGTGGCCAGATTATTATGACCCCCCCATCAGTACTTCGTTGGGTTGCCTGGTGACTCCACGAGATGATGAAAGGCGATGCGAGGAATCTGACACGGCGCTGTTGCCCTTCTGTTGTCTTGTACCAGTCTTGCCCCTCCCCCGTTCTGCCCTAACATTGACTAGTCGCTGACGGCCACAATTCGCACGTTCAGACCCAGATTTTCGGCTGACAGTCCGGTCTTTAAACACTTTAACAATGAGCCGCTCTTGAACATTTAATGAATTCTGCTGTTTTGCTGATACTCGCTCCATGGCTCCGAGCGCCAACAATCATCCCGCGTTCAAAGGCTGTTACATCGCGTTGTTTCCCCGTATCTTCCCAATCACTTCTACTGTCGTGGTAACCAACCCGCTTCCCTATTTATAATGGTCTGGCCCTCTAGCAACTTCAGCGCAAAATTATAGCTAATCTGCCTACAAACGTCAGGTGATCAAAATAATCCGGCCACTCGGTGTATATAATAATCTGGCCACTCAGTGTATATAATAATCCGGCCACTCAGTGTATATAATAATCCGGCCACTCGGTGTATATAATAATCCGGCCACTCAGTGTATATAATAATCCGGCCACTCGGTGTATATAATAATCCGGCCACTCAGTGTATATAATAATCTGGCCACTCGGTGTATATAATAATCCGGCCACTCAGTGTATATAATAATCTGGCCACTCGGTGTATATAATAATCCGGCCACTCAGTGTATAGAGATCTGGTTTTGGTCTTTGGCTGCTCCCCCCTTTTTCAAGACTAATGTATAGAAGACAATACAGAAGGCAGGATTGTCTACTTTATTGCCTTTATTTATTTTGTTATTGTTTTCAACATGTTAGCCATGAAGAAGGGGGAGGGGGCTTTCCCCCAAAACACAGTGACAGTAAACTCAGGTGTTAAATCTTAAAAATGCATTCAAGTCCCTTAACTCTGAACAACAATGTCTCTTATTTGTGTATCGCTCGGCTGTAGACCCTCCAATCATCTCTGAATTGGTGTTGACACTGTCCTTCCTTCTGGAGGAGGGGCTACGTCTGTTCCCCATGGTCCCTGTGTGTGTTGTAGAGTAGTCACCGCTCCAAGCTCTCCCCTCCGGGATGAACTACAATCTCAGTACAAATTAGAAAATAAAATGTGAGATTGTAGTCCATCCTGGAAGCGAGCTTGGAGGGGCGACTTTAATGTCCACACTCTATGAAGAAAAAAAAAAGTTTGCCTGTACATAGCTGAGATAGCTTGTGGTTGGCTATCACAGGGATCACTAGCTGTAGAATCTTCCCCATCTCTTTCTCCTCTCAGAGGACAAACAGATACAATGAGGGGAATTGATCATGACTGGAGCAGAGAAAGTCTGGAGCAGCCGTGCACGGCAACCAATCAGCTTCTCTCTTCGGTTTGTTCAGTTAAGATTTGAAAATGAAAGAGAGAAGCTGATTGGTTGCCGTGCACAGCTGCTCAGATTTTTTTTTTGTTTAATATAGTTTTTATTATTATTTCACATACACACATTTATACATATCTTCATAATAGAGATTAAGACATCATTTTATCCCATAAATAACATAAATTATACACTTCTCTAAAAAATAAAAAAGTCTGCTGCCTTACTTTTACCTTCATTCATATCTATAATCATTCATTTTACAATACCCAACCTCACTTCACCCTTCACTTTGTCTTCTACTCTCTTCTCACATTTACACTACTACTATATCCTCGTCTGAGGGGGGGAGGGGGTAAAATCACTAAGTGAATTTAGGTGAACCGTGTTAGATTTTCCAAACCATGTCCTAGGACGAACTTTCCCTCTCAAACCTTCCTTTATGTATATTCCTCACTCTACTTTGTGCTCTCCCCTTGTATGCGATCTATACTAAAATGCCTGTAAACAATAACCTTCCGATCAAAATATGTGATTTGCCCTTTACTCCCTATCCCACCCCCACCCTCCCACTAATACTTGTGTTCTCATTATTCCTTACTCTGCTCCAGTTTTGATAAATTCCCTCATTGTGTCTCTTTCTCTCTTTTTTTTTTATTTGTTTCCATTCTTCTCCTTTAGTGACGAAAAAGAGATACATTGTAATTCTTTCTTCTGACTGGAGAAAAATGTAAAGGAAAAAAAAGGTCTGCACAAATTTGCTAAACTGTGTTCGTGCGTTAAGAGTTGTTTTACCTTCATCACTAAGGTAAGATAAAGCCCCCAAAGTATTTTTCATTCCTGAATTGTTTGCTGTAAGTCTTATTAGGAGAGATAAAGAGACATAAAGAGAGGGGAGCATAGTACTATAGTGGCAACTGCCCTGTAGCACTGGGGGTCCCTGGGTCAAATCCCGGTCAGCAGGGCAGCCATCAGAAATTTTGGGGCCCCTTACACAGCTTTATGCCTGGGCCCCAAGCCACCCTACATACACTGCACCTGTTCACTGGCTGTCCCATTGAGTCCGCCCACTGTAACACTGTTACAACTTAATATATGAAACTGTAATGTGTATTCCAACGCACAGGCGACACTGACACAGCTGGAGTGACGGCGCCCAGGCGACACTGACGCCGCTGGAGTGACGGCGCCCAGGCGACACTGACGCAGCTGGAGTGATGACGCCCAGGCGACACTGACGCAGCTGGAGTGATGACGCACAGGAGACACTGACGCCTGCTATCCCCTGCCAACCCTCCCACCCCAGTGCAATGGACGCTGTGTAGTGTTGGCACAGCTATTACAGCAGCTCTGCTCCCGCCTTTCTTCAGTGCTTCGGTCGGTTAAAACATAACCTCCGCCCCCTGAAAACCTTCCTGCACGTACAGGAAGGTACCAATTGTACAGAGAAGGGGGGAGTGGGACCGTACCAACTGGACTATACATAATATTTTATAGCATAAACTCCTTGGTTGGAGCCCAGACCCCCCAAGCTGCTGGGGCCCCTTACTTGAATGCTGGCCGTACTCCCCTGATGGCGGCCCTGCCGGTCAGAACTCCGTCTGCAAGGCGTTTGCATGTTCTCCTTGTGCTTGTGTGGGTTTCCTCGCACACTCCAAAGACATGCTGGTGGGTTAATCGGCTCCTATCTATGTATGTGAGATGGGGACCTTAGATTGTAAGCTCCTTGAGGGCAGGGACTGATGTGAATGTGCACTATGTAAAGTGCTGTGTAAATTGTTGGCACCATATAATTACCAATAATATATAAATAAAAGAGAGACAGGAGAGAGAAATTATTTTTTTAAAGGTGAAATCCCATCACACACACACGCACCCCACACACACACACACACACACACACACACACACACACACACACACACACACACACGCACCCCACACAGCTCATGTGCCTAAACATTTTATTTATTTAAAGCAACAATTATTATTTGCATGATCAAAGTTCAAGGGGAATCCAAGCAGAACAAATCTCTTTCCAAAAGTTGACTTTGGCATGGCCACAGAATTGGAGGACAGAATTAAACACGGCAGACAT